GCATTCGCATAAAGATCCACGGTTCGGTAATAAGATAAGTCCGACGGTATCGTCCGACGTTATGCGACGCGCGCTTTCAATTAATCGGCACATTTGATCGCTCGTTCTTAGAGGACAGTACCCGCCCGTTTCAATTGCTCGGTAGACGCGACGTCGTAGAACAAGACACGCAAACTAAAGCGTATACTGCTGTAACAAGCTTACTTTTGTTTCACTTTGACAAATTAGAAATAGCAGCGTTGCAGTGTTATGAGTGCGAGTCCGAGGTCGGCAAAGGTTGTGATGTTGTAACTGAAAAAACGGAAGTAGCGACGTGTGGAAAGGAGTCATCGACAACGGTCACACCAACAAGCACAGATTCGACAGGGGGCACACCAACAAACACAGATTCGACAGGGGGCACACCAACAAACACAGGTCCGTCAGCGGGCACACCAACAACCACAGATTCGACAGGGGGCACACCAACAAACACAGGTCCGTCAGCGGGCTCGCCATCAAGCTCAGATTCGACAGCGGGCTCACCATCAAGCTCAGATTCGACAGCGGGCTCACCATCAAGCTCAGATTCGACAGCGGGCTCACCATCAAGCTCAGATTCGACAGCGGGCTCACCATCAAGCTCAGATTCGACAGCGGGCTCACCATCAAGCTCAGATTCGACAGCGGGCTCACCATCAAGCTCAGATTCGACAGCGGGCTCACCATCAAGCTCAGATTCGACAGCGGGCTCACCATCAAGCTCAGATTCGACAGCGGGCTCACCATCAAGCTCAGATTCGACAGCGGGCTCACCATCAAGCTCAGATTCGACAGCGGGCTCACCATCAAGCTCAGATTCGACAGCGGGCTCACCATCAAGCTCAGATTCGACAGCGGGCTCACCATCAAGCTCAGATTCGACAGCGGGCTCACCATCAAGCTCAGATTCGACAGCGGGCTCACCATCAAGCTCAGATTCGACAGCGGGCTCACCATCAAGCTCAGATTCGACAGCGGGCTCACCATCAAGCTCAGATTCGACAGCGGGCTCACCATCAAGCTCAGATTCGACAGCGGGCTCACCATCAAGCTCAGATTCGACAGCGGGCTCACCATCAAGCTCAGATTCGACAGCGGGCTCACCATCAAGCTCAGATTCGACAGCGGGCTCACCATCAAGCTCAGATTCGACAGCGGGCTCACCATCAAGCTCAGATTCGACAGCGGGCTCACCATCAAGCTCAGATTCGACAGCGGGCTCACCATCAAGCTCAGATTCGACAGCGGGCTCACCATCAAGCTCAGATTCGACAGCGGGCTCACCATCAAGCTCAGATTCGACAGCGGGCTCACCATCAAGCTCAGATTCGACAGCGGGCTCACCATCAAGCTCAGATTCGACAGCGGGCTCACCATCAAGCTCAGATTCGACAGCGGGCTCACCATCAAGCTCAGATTCGACAGCGGGCTCACCATCAAGCTCAGATTCGACAGCGGGCTCACCATCAAGCTCAGATTCGACAGCGGGCTCACCATCAAGCTCAGATTCGACAGCGGGCTCACCATCAAGCTCAGATTCGACAGCGGGCTCACCATCAAGCTCAGATTCGACAGCGGGCTCACCATCAAGCTCAGATTCGACAGCGGGCTCACCATCAAGCTCAGATTCGACAGCGGGCTCACCATCAAGCTCAGATTCGACAGCGGGCTCACCATCAAGCTCAGATTCGACAGCGGGCTCACCATCAAGCTCAGATTCGACAGCGGGCTCACCATCAAGCTCAGATTCGACAGCGGGCTCACCATCAAGCTCAGATTCGACAGCGGGCTCACCATCAAGCTCAGATTCGACAGCGGGCTCACCATCAAGCTCAGATTCGACAGCGGGCTCACCATCAAGCTCAGATTCGACAGCGGGCTCACCATCAAGCTCAGATTCGACAGCGGGCTCACCATCAAGCTCAGATTCGACAGCGGGCTCACCATCAAGCTCAGATTCGACAGCGGGCTCACCATCAAGCTCAGATTCGACAGCGGGCTCACCATCAAGCTCAGATTCGACAGCGGGCTCACCATCAAGCTCAGATTCGACAGCGGGCTCACCATCAAGCTCAGATTCGACAGCGGGCTCACCATCAAGCTCAGATTCGACAGCGGGCTCACCATCAAGCTCAGATTCGACAGCGGGCTCACCATCAAGCTCAGATTCGACAGCGGGCTCACCATCAAGCTCAGATTCGACAGCGGGCTCACCATCAAGCTCAGATTCGACAGCGGGCTCACCATCAAGCTCAGATTCGACAGCGGGCTCACCATCAAGCTCAGATTCGACAGCGGGCTCACCATCAAGCTCAGATTCGACAGCGGGCTCACCATCAAGCTCAGATTCGACAGCGGGCTCACCATCAAGCTCAGATTCGACAGCGGGCTCACCATCAAGCTCAGATTCGACAGCGGGCTCACCATCAAGCTCAGATTCGACAGCGGGCTCACCATCAAGCTCAGATTCGACAGCGGGCTCACCATCAAGCTCAGATTCGACAGCGGGCTCACCATCAAGCTCAGATTCGACAGCGGGCTCACCATCAAGCTCAGATTCGACAGCGGGCTCACCATCAAGCTCAGATTCGACAGCGGGCTCACCATCAAGCTCAGATTCGACAGCGGGCTCACCATCAAGCTCAGATTCGACAGCGGGCTCACCATCAAGCTCAGATTCGACAGCGGGCTCACCATCAAGCTCAGATTCGACAGCGGGCTCACCATCAAGCTCAGATTCGACAGCGGGCTCACCATCAAGCTCAGATTCGACAGCGGGCTCACCATCAAGCTCAGATTCGACAGCGGGCTCACCATCAAGCTCAGATTCGACAGCGGGCTCACCATCAAGCTCAGATTCGACAGCGGGCTCACCATCAAGCTCAGATTCGACAGCGGGCTCACCATCAAGCTCAGATTCGACAGCGGGCTCGCCATCAAGCTCAGATTCGACAGCAGGCTCACCATCAAGCTCAGATTCGACAGCCGGATCAGGAGAGAATGGTTGTAAGTACACTAAATTTCTAAAATGTTAAGATTCGTTGGCACGCATCCAGTAATTATTGCGATGGCAATAGACGGTAGTTGTCGTTGAGTTGGCCGATTGTCGATCTGATCGCGACCGCGTCGACACGTAATCGCGGATTTAAAAGTTCGAGGAGTTTGCGGATGGCGATGGTGTTCGAATGAACGGGAAACGTTAACGTAATCTTTTTTTTTCTGGTCTACAGTGGCTCCCGTTAATATTCGGGCACTGTTCGAATCGCAATAACATTTTTAGAACTGGACTGGACGATTTCGATGAAATTCTCAGCGTACGAGATACAGCTTGTCGAGATCTGCGGAGCTCATTTTTTAAATTCTCGTTATAGGCTCGCTTAAAATAAAGAAAAAGAAGGGAATGTTAAAAAACGAGATTTCTTTGTTTTTCTTTATTTATACATTCGAAGCAGTAGCAAATTTTTCAACGATCATTCTAGTTATGGGCCCAATAGACTGGCCCTTCTGTCGTCTGAAGAAAAGATCGGTTCGTTTGGTTCAGAAGTCTGGAAAAGTTTTTTATCGCGTCCCGAGAAGTGGCCGATTTATTAACTGGAGTCGTTTTGTGTGCACGTGTGTGTATAGAAAGACAGTCGTGGGCGAATATATTCGGTCGCCTCTCAAATGCGGTACGGCACATTCCCAAAGCAGGAGCGAACGATTTGTATTTCGTCGCGAATCATAGGAGTGCCAGTTCGTTGAACGACGCGTGGAAACAAGTTTTGCAAACATTTGCAATTGGATGGAACGACGAGAGAATGAGGCGGAAACAATTAAATGTTGCGAAAGTCGCGGTTTCCCGCGACCAATATCCCCAGGATAAGGAAGCTGAGAAACGTGGTTTTCTTTGTAGACATTTTTTTGTCATTCCATCTAATTGCTGCCCCTGAGAAGGTGGTTGGTCCCGTTATTCCGGTCCTTCGAACAATTTCGAAACCGTTCGGCACGTTTTTCGTCCAAGATGTTCACAATGTGACGTATTTGCGGCACGGCTCGCGGGCCGTGTTTCATCGATGTGACATTTCTGGTAATCAGCTTGATTTATTCGGCGTACGGTTTCAGCACGGCGACGTCGGAGCTTGTTGAACCGTCTCGCGGAAGCACAGCCGTTCGAGGATGTGAAGTACCGTTGTTATAAGAAGTCAGGTAATGTCGAATATTTGATTGGTTTCTTCGCTCACACGAACGCCGCGTGTATTAATCACACTTTTGTACTTGCAGTTACCCAAAACAATAAGACAACGATTACGAGGGGCTGTATGAAGGAGTCAGATGCTGAAAATTGCAAGGATTGCAGCTTTTGTGACTCGGACAAGTGTAATTCGGCGACGTCCGTCGCTGTGTACGCGTCGATGATTATTTCCCTGGTGACATTCATCTTCTTGACGCAATAGCATTATTAGCGGCGGCGCGTGCCCAAATTACTTTCGATATAATAAGCATATTTATTAATTCATTTATTCTTGCTTGTATTGTTTAACGTTATATCATCGTCGACAAATGTTGCTCGGGCCTTTCCTAATAATCTTTGGCATTGCATTTCGAACGCGCGGCCACTGTACTCTCGACGTGCGTAACATTTTCATGTTCGCAGCATCACGACGGTTTATATTTATATCAATCTGCAGTAACTTTGTGATCTATATCAATTGTTTTCTTTTCTTCTTAACATTTTGACTCGTCGCTCACGCCATCGCGATTCTAATCCGTTCGTACGTACGACGAAACTCGAATAAATTCCCCATAAATGTGTCTATATATGCGACTCCAACGAGACAGCGAACGAACAAATTTGAGACGCGTTACGCGAACCCAGCGGAAAATGGCTTAGAATGGCTCCGGGTGCGAAGGGTTAACCGGTAATTGACGTTTAGCCGGAGGATCGTTTGGAATCCGGCGTCCGAGGGACGCCGTTCGAGGAGGCCGTGACGATGTCCGTTTTCGAAACGCGTTCGTACCTTTGTTCGCGGCATTGCCGCGCGCATGAGACAGTAAACGAAAGTCTATTCGGGACGATCAATTAACCGTTCGGCCATTAGCAGCCGCAAGAGAACGAGCCGGCCGGGCCCCGTGGTAAGGCTAACGAACTCGGCGCTGCCACACGTTCCAGCCATTATCCGTTCCGACCGAGCTTTCGACGCGCGTGCATCGTAGAAAATGATTATCGCGCGAGCGCGACGAATGCATCGTTATTCCTGATCGTCGAACGAAATTACCGTACGCCACGATACGTCGTGACCCGCGGTTTCTTTTCACTTTCGTATTACGAGCGCGATCCTTCGCGAACGAAACACGCGAGTTTCAAACGGTGGCGTGGTCCTCGGGCGCCGTTTCTGGTGCCAGAAGCTGGCCAAAAATGATCGGACAATTATTTTCGTCGATCTTGTTCACCTCGGATTCGAAGATCGAATGCTTGCTCTTTATAAAAAGAAAAAGAAAAGAAACTTGCTCCACGATGTTTCCTAGACGAGGAAAACAACCTCGGCGGTGCAAACTCGTCGTCGCACCTTGTAACTGCTCTGACGAAGATCTTCGTTGACAATCGGCGACTATAAAATGTACAGGTAATATTAATTATACAAGGCTGTCCCATAGTGACGGTATTTCCGGGAAATGAGGGGTTCCTGAGGTCATTTCAAAGAATATTTTCCTCGGCGAAAATTCAATCCGCGGCTTTGTTTATCAAAACTGGCAACAGTCTCTCAGACCGGCAATAATAGCAGGGCAGGGAAAAAAATAAATTTTTGGAATAGTAAATAGAGTGGAACTAGACTCGCGGATTATAATATTTACATTTATAGCAAAAATGGATAAACGGAACACGGAACAGTGAGGACGAAAAAAAAGAAATGTTAAATACTGCAGTAATTATTTCCATCTGACACCATTAAAAGAAGAAATCAATTTTGACCTAATTTCTGTGTGATACGAGAGATGATGGCAATTTCTATTTCGCGTAGAGATCCGCAATCTAACGCTAACTATTCTTTCAAACAGTAGTTACATACGGATAATACGTAGTTAAATATACAGAGTATCCCGTAATCACGTTAACACTCGGAACGGGTCGATTCCCGAGGTAATTTGAAGTAACATTTTCCTCGGCGAGAATACAATCCGCCGCTTCGTTAACGAGTTATCCGCGAAAAACGGTGACCAATAAGAGGCGAGAGCTCGGTTGGCGCCCGGCGGCCCAGCCAACGAGCGCACGAAGCCCAGTTCCGCTGATTGGCTCGGCCGCCTCGCGCCAACCGAGCTCTCGCCTCTCATTGGTCACCGTTTTTCGCGAATAACTCGTAAACGAAGCGGCGGATTGTATTCTCGCCGAGGAAAAAGTTTCTTCAAATGATCTCAGGAACCTCCCACTTCCGGCTGTTAACATAATTACGGAACGCCCTGTACTCGAAATGCTATTTCCGTGTGTAACTACTACATCAAAAGAAAAAGAAAAATTGACTTGCCATCTTCTGCGTCGTGTGAGAAGATGAAAATATTTACAGTCCGTTTACATTTATCTCGGGAATCTATTTCTCCCCGGATCGGCAATAACAATGAAGGGCGAAAAGGTGTTCGAATATTTTTTGCCTGGGGTGCTGGCTAATCGCAAATTTCTTTTGGGAGAAGGCACCGCTGCGCGTCGCAGTAAGACGCGGTTCGCAGAAAGGACGAGCACGAGCGATTGTGCATCGAGCCGAGGACACCCGTGGGTGGGGAGGGCGGAAGGACGAGAAAGAGAGAGAGAGAGAAAGAGAGCGATAGGGAGAGAGAGAGGGGGGAGGAAGGAGAGGCTGCATTAATCGTTCGGGAAGGTGCATCCTGTGCATCGTATCGTAGGTATGTTCAGCGTACGAGCGCGTAGACTGCGCGCTACGAGCGAAGAGAGAGAAAGAGAGAGAAAGAGAGAGATGGTTAGGGAGAGGGTGGGAGGAAGGGAGAGAGAGAGAGAGAGAGAGAGAGAGGAGAGCGCAGGGTTTCGCGCTCTCCTTCCCGGCCACCTCGTGCCTCCTCGGCCAACTCGGTGCCCGCTCGTGCGCTCGAGCAGCTCCGAGGCGGACAGCTCCGAAGCGGATTCTCAGTCTGCTGCTGGCTGGTCTCGTGCGTGCGTCGGCTCCATCGTTTCTCCTCGCCCGTTATCAGAGTACACAGAGTGTCACGGATCTAAAGGACCGTCCGGTGGATCGCTCACCATGCCCCTGGATCCTCGAGCTTGAACCCTGGACCGTTCTTCTCTCTTCTCGCCCGCACGAGATTGGATTTCGAGTCAGCGATTGTTTACCGCTCGACCCGGCGAACCTGTGTGAGTACCCTAATTTATTCTTCTTAGATCTCCCTGTGTGTGCCCGTCTCTCTCTCTCTCTCTCTCTCTCTCCCTTTTTTTGTATATTCGTGGTTAATCCGTGTGTTCGATCGGTCGGTGATCTCGCGACTCGAAACGCGCATCCGCCCGCATCGTGGAGAAAGCTGCCCTGTTACACGGGACAACAGCGAGTACGCCGAATCGTGACGCAAGCAAACCAATCCAATCCAATACGCGTTGTCCCGCAACTGGTATCTCGCGTTGGAATACGAGCTGGATCGTTGTCCGCGGCCAGAACGGCCGATTTCGAGCTGCGAGGACCGCTCCGCCGGCTGGCGATTCACGTTACTTCGTGTTTTTAACCGGCCGATCCGCGGCCCCATTGTCCACCCCGCGAATCTCGATTTCATTCTCGACGATTCAATCTCAATTCTATTGCCACGCACACCGTATTCGTACCGGTGCACCAGCGTCAGCTGCTGCTCCTTCCTTCGTCGTTTGAAAAACGAGGCTTCCAACGCCGTTTCAGGATATCTTCGTTGCGATAAGGATACCTTCGAATCGTGATAATTTTCTTCTTTTACGTTTTCTTTTTTTGTTTTGTTAAGTATTCTTTCAGTCGTCGCTATTTTTTCTGTCGGCTAGCGTGCTTCATTTCGTTGACCCTTGCACGGCGAAGGCAGGGTCAATTTGACCCGCGAGCGACTATGCTGCAGCGTCGACGCCACAGGCTTCCGACACAAACTTCGTTACAGCAGAAGCTCGATCGTCCGAATTCAAAGTTGACGGTCGATTACTATTTAGTTTCGATAAATTATTCATACGATCGTTTAAGGCGACTGACGGGATCTGTTTCTTCTTTCGTTAATTAAGTTAAACTAAATTAAATTACATTAAAATAATCTGAATTAAATTATATTAAATTAATCTGAATTAACCCTTTGCACTCGATTCTAATTATATTTCTGTTCTAATTATATTTTAAACATATTTTCTACAGTGTTTCTATTTTATATGATTTATTGCGATTTATGCATATAAAAGCCTATTTTGGCAAGTAAAAAACTTGCAATTTTAAGAGTCTTTTTAGATATAAACGAGTCTGACGCTATTACAATTACTTTGAAAAATAATATAGCAATTTTTAGTGGCGCCCCAGAGTCGCTACTCGAGTGCAAAGGGTTAAATTATATTGAATTAATTTCAATTAAATTAAATTCTTCTGAAGTTTTGTATATTCGACTTGCCGCAGTTCAGCGATAGGGATAATGTTTCATAAATGTAGCGATCGCGATCATTTTTTAAAATACTTTCTTCATCGTCGAATTACAAATCGATATTTTTCTGTCGAACGATCATGATAAATCTGTCGAATGATAAATTTGTAAGCTGTTTCCACGTATCTTCGTCGCGATAAGGACAACGTTTCACGGGCATTTCAATCGCGATCGTTTTTTTTTTAAACACCGTTTTAATTGCTTTTCTATCGCGCAGCGTGTATAAGATAGAATACCGAAACGCGTTTTCGTGTTCCACGAACTGAAGGAAATTATTATTTGTTCACGCTGACGACACAATGATAGCGCCAGAAGGAGTCATGGCTCCATTTAATGCGTCATTTACGAGCTCGCGGTTAGGATAAAAGATTAGGCAATCCGTTTCCCTGCGTCCCGTTTGAATGCGTCTTTGCGAAAGAACGGCTACCGTTCGCGATGTTCTCTCTGGAAAATTGATTCGCGACTTTTCCTCGCGGATACGTTCGTGCTCCATGCGAAAAGCGTATCGCGCCTCGTGCGAAAGATGTGTATCGCGTTTTCCATGCAAAATGTGTATTGTACTTTGAATTGAAAAAAGGTGCATCGTTGTTCCGAATGATGAACGTGTGTGCACGTCGAGTGAAAAGCGTATCGCACTTTGAATGAAAAATGTATCGCCCGCAGCATAATCTTCGTCAGACTTATCGCTGTCGCGTGAATCATTCGATTTCCTTAGATTCTTTTTACCCCGCCGAAAGCAAACACGAAGATTCTTTTTTACTGATAAGATATACATTCATAGTTCGGTTCACGCTTGGGAAGACCTTTTTCGACGTGGATCAACGGATCACACGCTTTTCAAGATTTTACCTCGAGGAATATACCTGCTCGGATCTAATCAGTACGACGTATCTTCTGAAAAAAACTAGAGCAGCTTCTTAAATAATCGTGTAGTATTTTTAGAAATCGTTTAGCTGCAAATCGTGCAAGTCCCTGTAAAATTGTGCGGCTCTTTATAAAATCATACACATCCCCAAAAAATCGTACAGCTCCCTAGAAAATTGTATGTAATACCAAAAAAATCGTACACCTTCCCAAAAATTCGTACACCTCCCCAAAAAATTGTACATTTCCCCCCAAAATCGTACACCTCCCCCAAAAAATCATATGCTTCCCTAAAAAGTCGTACACCTGCCCAAGAATCCGTACACCTCCCCAAAAATCCGTACACCTTCCCAAAAATTCGTACACCCTCCCAAAATTTCGTACACCCTCTCAAAAATTCGTACACCCTCCCAAAAATTCGTACACCTCCTCAAAAATCCGTACACCTCCCCAAAAATTCGTACACCACCTCAAAAATTCGCACACCTCCCCAAAAAGATCTTAGATGCAGCAGACGATCACTAGAGCTCGCAAGAAAATCGTAAAACGTGCGGCCAGACTTGGAAGCCTATAAAAAGCCATGCTACAGTGCGCTTAAAGCAATCGCGGAGCTCGTTAAAAGGACCATGGTACATCCCACGAAACGAAATCGCCGCTGAAAATAGCGAAGCTCGTGTGATACGGCTCGAATTCGTAACCGGCGTGTTTTCGTGCGCCGATTGAAAGAAAGTTGGAAAGTTTTCCGCGTTCCGTTCGGCTCGTTCGATCGTCCGGGGTGGTTCCCAGACACGCGGGGCAGACACCTGTGCGCATCCCCGTTCTCCTCCGAATTAGTTCGAGCATTCGGCCGGCCCGCCCCCGCACGCAGACCCGCAAATATAGACTCGCCGAGATCGAAGACTTCCGGGCCGTTGGTCTCGTCCCCCGCGTTCCGTGTTTTCGCGCAGTTTCCGCCAACAAAGGCATCAAAGCGTTCGTTAACCGGCCGCGCGCAGGAGTCGCATAATTGAAAAGACCGGTCTAGTCCATTATACGCGGCCGCTGCTGCCACCCTCTCGAGAACCACTTTCCTCGGCTTTCACGGCTGTCGGGTTGTCCCGGTCCCGTCGAACGGAAAACAACCAACTCGGCATCGATCCGCTGTCAACGGCTCGCCTACTTTCCGCGACGCGGTCTCCCGTCGCCGCTTTTCCAAAAGCAACTCCCAGATCCGATCGTTCGATCCGTCTCGATCATTGGACAAACGTCAGAAATTCGAAGTGTCATCGTTTAGAACGCGGACTTTTATGCGAAATAGAAAATCTCCGGCTCGAACGCGAGAAATAGAAACTAAATAGCGAGAACTTTCGTTCGGTAATGTTCGATAAAAATTGGTCAATTTTGATCGATGATAATTTCGCGAGAGAACACCGTAGGATGACGACGTTTCTTTTAAATCAAAGCTTGAAACCTCTACGTTAAGACAGTATTTCTCGATTTTAAGTTCGACGCACCCTCGCCACTGGATCCCTTCGAACGCGAGGACGCCATGTTTGTCACATTTTCAATGTGACAAGTTTGTCGAGTTTGACGAGACGCGCGGACTTCGTAAAATTTTGTTCGCGGATGCCGTTTGCAATCGAATCAAGTTCGATCCTTCCCGTTTAATTTAAAAAGAGATACACTACGCTGCGATTTTTTTTCGCAAAGATAGGGCACTCCGAAGCGACCCCTGCGCATTTTCAAAGTAAACCCGCAGGTGTACGATATCGTATACGTTTACACGTGTCGCGTGCGTTAATATTGTTGTTTCAATATCAATGCAGTCGCTTTGTAAAACCGTGGAGCGCTTCTTCGTGATTTCCCATGGAGTCTCGAGACCGATCTCAGCCGTTAATCAACGCGGCGGCTACGCAACGAACAAGTTAATCCGAGTCCGAGCGACGCGATGCGTGTCGCTTTAAATTGGAATCTCGTATTTTTCCCATGCGGGCGTGCGGGACACTGTCAAACCTGTCGCGGGGATTGCCGGTGTCCCTGACAGACTCGAGTGAAACCGCGGCCCCGTTTCCCGGTTCGTGAGAAACTGGAAAGACCGTCGACGGTCGCTGGAAACCGCGCGGCGGGACAATGAAACGGGGGGGAGAGAGAAAAAAAGAGAAGCGTATCGCGATTCGTATTCGCGACTGGCAAGCCACGGGTTTCCTTATCAAGATCTATCAGCGCTGCCATGGCTGCCATAGTCGTGCGTGCCGGCGAAGCGTGACGGCCGCTGCGGCGCCGCCGCCGCCGCCTGTTCCGATCGCTCATTTTTCCGCGATTCTCACGGAAATGATAGTGCTATCTATCTTCCCTATATTGCTGGAAAACTGGAGTATTGCATCGGTGTACTGACGATCGGATTGCGGACGTTTGTGCATTTATGGAAAAATTGGTTAGTCACGATTTTAAGGAGTGTACGAATTAAAAACATTTTTAAGCAACGACGTATGATTTTTAATCTGCTGTGATGATTCAAGGAAGAATTAACTAAAATAGACAAAATGAAACAAGAAAATAAAATAGAATAGAATAAAATATTATAAGGTAAGACAAGAAAATAAAATAGAATGGAATAAAATACTATAAAATAAAATAGAATAGAATAAAATAGTATCAGATAAGATAAGAAAATAAAATACCATAAAATAAAACAGAATAGAATAAAATACAATAAATGCCCTGCAATTGATGCAGACAATTTTTATTTTCAAACATTGTTTCAATTTGTCCACGGAGAGATTGAATAGGAAATAATTTAACGGGGAAAAGAAATGAGGCAAAATTTCAGAGGGACGAACGAAATGAAAATGAAACGCGAAAGAAAACATGCAGCAACGA